AATTTAGAATATATTATAATTCTTGATCTGGTGATAAGATGTAAATGAAATAAAAATTATTTGAGTTAAACTGTAGGTCTCAATTTAAACAACCCAATCCATTTCTTTATACTTATTTTCAAACAATTCCTATTTAAAACATTATTCTTTTTTATACTTAACAAAGCCAGATTTTTTCAGTTTATGTATGGGAAAATATTAGAAGAAAAAATGATCATTTAATCTCATAGTTTCTATTATTTGAGTCCATATTCTATGCATCTTTTAGTGAATGAAGGTGAGCTCTGAGCAAAACCAACACATTCTGAATTATTTGAGTTACTAGGTAAACCTACAATTAAAACTACTCAAAGAACATCCTAACTAGAAAAGCACATAATATATTCAGTGTAAAAAAAATCCTTTAGGTTTATTTATACCTCACAAACCAGTAACAATCAAAGTTAAATTCAAATATCCTCAGTGCACATTACCTGGCACTTAATGGGTGCTCAATAAATATTTGTTGAATGAATTAAAAGCCAGCTCAGAAGGAAATAAAACAGATCAACATTACATTCCCTCCTGTGGATGAAGAGCCTGTTTTGCAAGGCAGTCCAAGAATCAATAGTAAAATAATTACTTTAGAATTTTGATGATTTTGGAAATAAAATTGAAGAGTCTAAATTAGGTTTTGTGTTGGTTTCTCTGTCTCTAAAGTGTAATACCTTGCTTTCTAAAATGAACCTACAAAAGCATCTCTTCTCTCCAAAGCAGTCAAGTATTCTTTAAACACCAAATTAAACACTATGGTTTATCTTTAATGCATGGTAATAGAATAAATGTGTGTTCCCAGTAATACCCACAATTTCATCTCTCCTATTACAAATGTTCACCCAACATGAGCATGTTTTAGGCTGGTCAAAATCAACACCTCTATTAAACAGTATTTTCCTCCAGTCAATATTTTTCTATTTCAAACATTTACTTTCAGCAATCCTTAAACTCCAAAGATCTAAATATAGGCAACCTCAACTTGAAAAAATTCACAGCTAAAACTAACATATACTCTATGCCAATCTGTGCACCAGCTGTGGATTAAAATGTGCTGAAAAGCAGAACATTTTGTCTCTCTTCAATGATCAAATAGTCTCTTGCAGCATATACAACTCTCCATTTAACAGGAGGAGGGTGGTGTGGCGGGAGAGGGGGAACAATCTGGGGTGATTTTGTTTTGAGGTATCTGAAGGTGCTGAAATCCACTTAATTTATGGTTGTCATGTGGTTCTTTCAACAAAAACCTGTGTATTAAATAGGGACAGGGAGAGTAGTGGTAACTGAGTTAGATTCTTGGAAGGAGAGTATCTTCCTGACTTTTTCGAATTACTTTGAGATTTGCTTCCTGTTTATTTTCTGGCAAACATTTAAAAATAGTTGTCTAAATGAGGTCGCATTTGCAGAGACTGTAGAAATTCCTTTAACTGCAGAGTTCCAAGGAGAAATGACAGATTTATTACAGGGGCAAGCGTTAGCCAAAGAATTCATTTAATTATTTTAAGCCTCCTAAAAAATGTGATTGCATTTTTATATTAATACAGTATTTACCAATATGAATTTTTCTCACATTTGTAGCATAAAATTGCCCAACCTTTCCCTAGAATCCTATTGAACCCTAATTCTTTGCTTATTCTTTCATTTTAAATGGTCTCAAGAATTATTCTGGGATTATCTAGCATAGGATGTCTTACTTAAAGGGACTGGATGTTCACTGACCTGCTTAAGAGATCAAGGAAGCATAGCATCAAAAGGGGAAAAAAATCCCCAAACTGTTGACTGCAAGCTCATGTTCAATATTTTCCCAGTATTTTGCAGAATGGTCATACTTTAGTAGAGACTTGTGACTAGTGGCGAAATAATTTGTTTTACTTACTTAGCTCCCCAAAGCACAAGTCCCGTTGTCTTCTAACCACATGGCAGAACATTTAGTTACAATCCTAAGCAGAGTAGCATTATTTCATTTTAATGAGCTATAACTTAAATTCTTCAACATAATTTTATAAAGACAAAGTACATATATGTTAATCAGATTGATAAATTTGGAATCCTTATTCACTGATTGTCAAAACGAAAATCTTAAACTTAATGAAAAATACTAAAGGAAAGTATTTGTATATATGTTTGTATATCAGTATATTAAAATATGTAGATACTTTGGATATTGTCTTAATGAAAGGAAGGGGAAAATGGACAATTTAAGTAACGTACCAACACATTTAAAATGTACCATGTAAAAAGCAGAACTATGAAAAATCAAGGAAATATAAGTAATACCTTTCTTATATTTAAACAGGATTTAATACTTTTAAAAACACTTTCAGTTTTATTATTTCATTGTGAACTTTATAACTACACTTTCAGATATGAAAAGACAGACACTATTATTCTTAATTTCTAGATAAGAAGACGGACAGAAATGATTTTCACAAATCTTAAAACTGATCTTATTTTTTTTACTTTTTTTAACTTCAAAGTGATATATACATACACACATTGAATTACAATGAGATAGCCAAATAAAAAAATAGACACCAACTTGTATCTTAAAAGGATAAAAAAGGAAGAATTGATACAAGCATTAAAATAAAATGACATAGACAATCAGTCCAAACTAAAGTTAAAGCACAGAAAAAAGCAAAAATGACTGAAACAAAACAACAATGTGACCATTTTTCTCTTCCTAATACCAAAAAAAAAAAAAAAAACTTAATCAGAAATCCAATGTGAATTTCACCAAAACAAGGCTACACCAAGGAAGAGCAGCACAGTGTAAGTTAAGGACCCCTTAATTACTAACTATAATCAGCCTACTTCAATTGACCTTTTAAACATGATCAGAGGGCGCCTGGGTGGCTCAGTTGGTTGGGCGACTGCCTTCGGCTCAGGTCATGATCCTGGAGTCCCTGGATCGAGTCCCGCATCGGGCTCCCTGCTCGGCGGGGAGTCTGCTTCTCCCTCTGACCCTCCCCCATCTTATGTGCTCCCTCTCATTCTCTCTCTCTCAAATAAATAAATAAAAATCTTTAAAAAAAAAATAAAATAAAAAAAATAAACATGATCAGAGGTTTTATCATTGAATTTCAGGGGGGTTTTTGAGCCAATTTTAATTCTCTATCCTTGACTAACTTGCAGAAGGTTACCATATTAAATATACCATGTCACACCTACTACTGCTTCCATTTATAGTAGTGCTGTGATGGACACAGTACACTCACTTTAATGGAGATCTCTCTCTCTCTCTCTCTCTCTATATATATATATATTTAAAAAAATCAGACTTTCTCTGAAATTCAACACCAAAACTCCTCTCTAATAACTAGGATTTTTTTTTTTTTTTTAGATTGAGGTTTTAAGTATTAGGTATTACAGCAAATCAGAGGCAAACATCATTAATTCCAGAGAATTTGCTGTGAATTGGCCAAATGTTGAGCTCCATTACAGAGTAGCCTATTATAACGAGGGTTATAAAAGTCCTGTTTGCCCTCATATATTTTTTTTAATCTTACAGCACCTCATGGTATCTCAAATGCTCACTAGACCTAAGATTCTGAAGGTCATTGAAGAAATGTCAATGTTATCAGCATACACATTAACACATCTAACACATTTGCCTTATCAGCTACCAACACCTCAACTTGGATTCAAGTAATCAGTTACCTGGCAGGGACCTAGGACAATAAAATATAGGACTTATATATTTTAATTAAGAGGAAAATGTGACAAACAGGCTCTCTTATGAGGTGTGAAAGGTAGGTACAACTGGGAAAATAAGAGTGACGGGCAACAAAGGTTGACAGAGAGGGTCTACATGGGTGAAATAGACTACTCTGTCTCTACCTTTCCCTGCTTCATGAAAAACTGCAGGACTAGGTTCATCTTTGGTTCTAAACCAGCCATTGTAATCTTTGTAATAAACCAACAGATTCAATATTTGATTTCTTGAATTTTCACCAAATCCCAGCATTCCCTCCACTACACACACAGAATCTGCCAGGGGAGCTGTTAGTTAAAGGGTTTCCACTTCAAGGTCTCTGACACCTGGGGTAGCAGAGATCAGAGGAACATTGCCAACGTGTCAAATCTGCCTCAGTTTCCCTGCCAAATTCTTTATCTTGGAACAAAGCCAAAGCCTAGGCCTATTATGTCCACCACCACTGAATGCTGAGGTAAACAGAAAAGCAGGAGAGGAGCACCTTCATCATTCCGTATTGTAAGAAGCTCAAAGAGGTTGGATCTGTGAGCACAAAGACAGGGTTTTGAGTCAGCAGAGGGTAACTGTAGTCTGAGGACCAAAGAAGATCTAGGAAGTCCCCTCGAGTGGGCCAGAAACACACACATGAGAAGGGTTACCTTCATGGTCTGATTTGTTTAGATTTATTCTGCCTAGTGGAGTCTTTCTTTGTTTTGTTTTGTTTTTTTTCAATATTTGCTTTTTCTTTTTATAAGTAATTCGTGTTAACGAGAGAAGACTTGGAAAATACACAGATGAAATTATACATCACCTGAGATTCTACCACCTGGAGATCATCACTAATAACATCTTCATGTATTTCTTCCCAATATGTTCTTTTCCTCTGCATATATAGTTATAGATAAAAATACAGAAATAGAGATATTTTGCCTCATATGGTACGTATGGTCCCATCACCCTTTTCATCGGGCAACTGTTTGTTGTGAATATTTTCCTAGCCACACAAATTCTATACTATGATTTAAAGGCCACAGGGTCAGGTACAGTGTATGGTTTGCCACCTTTGGGTGCTGATGACCCACAGGAACTCACAGGCAAACTGACACCATCTAGTTCTTACCAGTCTCTTCTTTGAACATTGAAACACTCTGAGTCCTGGCTGTTAGATGAGATGAGCCACCGCTGGGCCAAAACTCCTGGTACAACGCCACCACCATCTGACTCAACATGAACACAGCCTCCAACTCTCTCACGCCTATGGGATTGAACTTACCTGGAAAAACATCTGCTGAATTGTCCACAACCTCTGAGCGGTGCCCTAGACTGCTGGCTGGCCACCTGTGCCAAATCAACAACTTCTGCAGCCCCATTTCTTCAACTACACCTGAGCCGGCTCCCCTCCCTGTTTGTCCTTGCGGGGGCGCTGCCAACACATCCTCTTTCTGAACCAGTTTCTATGATAAGGGTACAGGAGTGTTAATAAAAACAAATACCGTGCACTATATTATTTTCCCCGGTGACCCTTCTATAGGTATGTGGATTTTAGTCTGGCAGTACCTGCAGCAGCTCTTCTCACAAAGGGAGGGGATCTTCTTTGGACTTTTGTCATATTCATTTAACTTTCGTTTTGTTTTGTTTTTTTAACTTTTGCGGCTCCCCCAGCCCGCGCCCCGGGCCGCAAGGCTCTGCAGCGGTGCCCTGCACGTCGCTGCTAAGCGCCCCGGTACGCGTCAGCTAACAATGGCTTAGCACCAGTTCCAACCAACAGGCTTTGCAGCCGGGGGAGGGGGTGGCACCCTTTGCGTCCCGCCCAGTTTCCCAGGAAGGGGCGGGTTGGGCGCAGGACCTAGTCAAACCGCGCGCGGGAATTAAGCTGGGCTACTGCGACGCATGCGCTGGGCTGCAGGCTGAGGCGGGAAAGATCGAAGAGCCCTCAGAATTGGGGGGGGGGGGTTCCACTGAAAAATGATTTATTGAGCGCTTACGACGTGCCATTCGCTTTGTGACATAATCCTGGTCTTTATGGAATCTACATTCCAGTGCAGGAGGTTGAAAACATAAAGGAAACAAAGATAAAATAATTACAAGTATAAAAAAATGCTATCAAGGAACCAAAGAAAGAGAGGTCTCGAGCAAAAGTACTTAGGGGACCAGTTTTTGTTGTTGTTGTTGTTGTTGTTGTTTTATTCTTATGTTAATCCCCATACATTACATCGTTAGTTTTAGCTGTAGTGTTCCATGATTCATTGTCTTAGGGGACCAGTTTAAAGAGCCCAGTCAGAAACACTATCTCGAAGAGGTTTCTAGCACATTGGAAGACTTCCTTTCCCCGGGATCTCAGACTTAAAATTCTTTTTCTTGCCATTTTCTGCAGCACCTGATACATTACAGGCTAGGATCCTTAGGACTTCACCATTTCTGCCCCGCATTCCTCAGCCCCACCAATGTCCAGTCTTTATTCCTTCTCCTTCAAATAAGTCTATTGCCACCTCACTGGAAATGCCTAAATACCCGTAATGAACGAGTTAAAGGATTAAACATGATAAAATGCATTTTTCTTTCCAGCCTGCAGCAGTTCAATACATAAATTATGTCTTTGATCCTGGCAACTCTTCGGCAACTAAAAAGATGTTTGAAATAGGAAAACAGGAAATGCCACAGAGAAATGTGTCTCTTTGTTTCTTTTGAGGGAAACCTTTCCTTCAGAGGTGCAGAGTGGTGAAATATACTAGATTTTAAGAGTCAGCCACACCTTGGAATTGAATTCCTGCTCTGCCACTTAACTTAGTGTGATGACCTAAGGCAAATTACTTAACCATACTGAGTGAACCTTAATTTCCTCATCTATAAAATGAGAATACAGTACACGTTGCAGTATAATTCTATGAATTAGAAATAATGTATGTAAAGCATTTAGCACAGTGCTCTCATATGGTGGCACTTGACACATTGGCTGTGGCTATCAGTACTTAACAACCTGTGATGTATGAACTATTAGCCTTCATTTTATCTATATGTTACCCTCATCTTATGCCCACCAGGCTCAGAGAGGTTAAATAAATAACTTTCCCATAATTAGAATCAAGGTGAGGAGTTAGCTTTAAAACCCTGTTCTTAACTGTGTTTGGAGCCCCGGGGAGGGACTTAACTGTGGAGTAGCATCTTAGTAGATTCCAAAAGTGGTATCTCAGGTATAAGGCCATTTAAAGTAACACTCCGTTGATGGAATAGTATGTAGTGCCAGGATGTACCTTAAAATCAAGAACCGTGGCAAATTGAGGGTTGGGAGCACTGCTTGCCTGCAACTGTCATAACTCAGGCAGGAGTGAGCTTAAGGAGCAATAGGAGAACAGGAAGGATAAAGAAGATTAGTGGGTGGTAAGAGGAATTTACCATAGGGGGTCCCAAAGGAGTACCCATATGCACCAAACATCAATGAGGGAATCTAATTCAGACCACATTTCAAAAACATTTTACATTTTATGGTGGGAAAGAAGTTTTATTTGAAAATACTTGTCAAAGGTGATAGTGCACTAATCACTATCCTGGACTGTACAGAGCTCAGGACACTGAGCTCTTGGGTGGAAAGGGCTTGCACAAGAAAAAAAAACTATAGTACTCCAACCGTGAGATTGAGCTCCAGCCAAAGTGAAGAGCAGGAACCACAGCAAATCCAAGCCTTTGGACTTAGCCAACATGAGGACAGGAAAAAGAGAAGGGGTATGAAGATGCACAACCTCACAGGAAATGCTCCTGGGCTCTGGTTATAGGTCTCTTGGCCGCAAAAATATTGGGAGAGCAAGAAGAAGGCCTGTCAGTCATGATTAAGGCAAATGTTCACCTCACAGTCTTAATTCCAAGTCCCATCAGATGGAGGGATTGAGGCATTTATTATATTTCCTGATTTAGTAAAAAATGCTTCAGAATCAGGCAAGAGATTGAGTCTGTATTTAGAAGACTTGATTGCACGTATCTGGAAGTGTTGTGGAAAATAAGAGTAGGGAAAATGAGGCCTAAATTGGACATCCACTTTCTTCATCATAAGTGGTTATATTTATAAATGGACTTTCAAACAGGGACCTGGACTATAAATCATTATTGGTCCAGAACAAAGTTGAGATATATCTCTGGAAAGGTCTTTAAGCATAATATTATTAGACACAAAAATATTGGCTGGAGGTCCATTCCCTGCAGTATAACATACTGAACCCTAGAGGGTAAAAAAGGAATATGAGACAGTTCCTGTTTAGAGTTTAAAGTCTAGGGTTTCCTGGGTGGCTCAATCAGTTAAGCATCCAACTCTTGATTTCAGCTCAGCTCATGATCTCAGGGTCATGAGATTGAGCCCCTTGTCAGACTTCACGCTGGATGTAGAACCTACTTAAGATTCTCTCTCCCTCTCCCTCTGCCCCCCCCTCCTTTGCATGCATGCACACACACTCTCTTTCTCTCTCTCAAAAAAAAATGCATATACATACATATATGTGTGTATATATCAGAGCAGGAATATGGAGAATCATGCATTGACTTACTGTGGCAATTTCAAGATACTCAACTGGCTTCAGCACTGATATGTCTTCTGATGTACACAATACCCTGAAGACAGAGCAAGCTTCAGAAGATAGGGAGATCAGTGTGCTTGACATGAGGTATAGGAATTGCACAACTATGCGTGTTGGGGGTGGGTGTTGGAGAAAGCAAGAGTGGAGCCCAGTGTTTTTCTACGATATTTAGTAAGAAAGTGGGATGGCTGGATGGAAATGTCATGGATTCTTTCTAGGTATTGACTCATCTTTGATAATGAGGATGTTTTCCATCCATATAATTGCTCTGCCCCCATCCTCTTGCCTGATACTTCTTTTCCCATGATGGAATATGATTACCAAAGCTCTTTCATATAGCAGACCACCCAGGTCAACCCTCCTGGAGAGGACCCATGATGATCATGATAATAATTATGTGGCCTGTGACAACAACAGCTACTGCTGCTAAGGTAGTAAAAAGTCTATTGCTACCATCACTATCACTGTTAACATCATTGACAATACTACTCCTGTGGCTACTACCACTCCTATTATTATTGTTACTTTTATTATTATTATTACTGTTACTATTATTACTATAATTTATCTCTACTATTATTAGCTTCTAGTGAGCACCTTCTATGTTCCAAGCACTATATTTGGCCCATTAAATAAACTTTCTTTCATTTATTAATAGCACTACACTATAAATAATATCAGGTGCATTTAACTTTTAAAATAGTTAAGTGGCCTAGCCAAAACCATTCAGCTATTAAATTTGGAACCAAATTCCAATCCAGATTTTATAGATTTCAAAATTCACACTCTCTGCACTCCACAATGTTGTCTTTCTATAGGAAAGTACCCTAGGAAGCTTATTTTAATTATACTTTTATTTCAATATATTTATAAGGCAACTCATTTTAAAGCTATTTTTATTTTAAAACATTTACAAACTTACAGAAAATTTAGAAGTACAGGACAAACACTTCTGCTTTCTGAGCCATTTGAGAGTAATCTGTCAACCTAATTCCCCATCGTATTTCATGTGCATTTCCTACAAACAAGAGTATCCTCCAACACAACCAATCCAATGATCAAAATAAGAAAATTAACATTGATACATTACTATCATTTAATCTTTAGACCCCATTCAAGTTTTGCTAATTGTCCCCACAATGTCTTTCATAGAAAAATAATTAGTTGAGAATTACGTGTTGCACTTAGCTATCATATCTCTTTATTCTTCACACAGGAATTCTTCTCAGTCATTTCTTGACTTTTATGACCTTGTGATTTTGAAGAATTAGGGACCAGTTATTTTGTAAAATATTCCTTAGTTGAGGTTTCTCTAATGTTTCCTCATGATTAGATTCAAGCTATGTTTTTTGATGAGAATATCACAAGAGTGATGCCATGTTTTCCTAATTGCATCCTATTAGGTGGCATACAATTTGGATTTGTCCCTTGACTGATGATGTTCACTTTGACCCGTGATTAAGGTGGTGTTTGCCAGTCTTTTCCTCTATAAAATAACTCTTCCTAGCCTCCTTTCTAATCTTTTATCAAACTTCTAATGTATTAATTGTTTCCTAACTTTTTGAATAAGTAATATTCTGTTACTGTCATTTTTTATTTTGATGCTGAAATTATCCCTGGTTTGTCTAGTGGGAGTCCCTTCAAACTGGTTTCTGGATCTTTTTGACATTATCCACCTAATCATTCTGTGACCTTTTTTATTTTTTCCTAGAATAAGAAAGAACTTCTAGACTGATATGTGCCCTTCCTCAATCAGCTATGCTAGAATCAACCACTTCTCCTAGGAGCATTGGTTTTTTTCAGTGGAAAATGATATTATGAAGCCACAATCTGGGCACTAGGTCTGTTCATGATATTATGAAGCAACAATCTGGGCACTAGGTCTGCTGTATATATATAAGCATATATATGTGTGTGTGTGTGTGTGTATACACTTATATGTGTATATATATATGCTTGTATGTATACATAATTTACATTTATATCTATATATTCTATATTTCTTTATGTATCTATATGTACTGAAAACTAAAGGTTCTTTTTTATTTTATTCCTTTCCATATTTGTAACTGTCTTCTGATACCTGGGTCACCTCATCTTTAACATAGTTATTTATTTGATCAACCCTCTGTATATAAGCAGTCCCTCATCTCCAATCTTGC